GTGAACCTAGTGTCCTAGAAAAGAGAGTTGGAAATAAAAATTACTGGTGGGAATAGAGACAAGACTAAATGTTTGCATTTTGACCTTTTTTGTTGTTGTTTTTTTGTAGATTATAAGATCAGAAAAATGTATATTCCCTATTTTATTTGATAATTTAATAAATAATTTTTAAATAATAGCCAATAACAATTGCATTACCTATGGGAAATATAATAACACAAAAAATATAATTGATTCAATATTAAGCAAAAATGTTCATATTTCGTGCAGCTCTAACATGTATTTCTTGTAGGATTTAAACATTTTGCATGTCACCTTAAACGTAATCGCAGCTCATTAGTAGAGACTCCAAAACATGGTGTCTGAAATTGTAAACATGCCAAACTTTCATCACTTAACCTACAATTATAAATGATCTGCTGTTCGATTTTGGACATGTCGCTGAAATGGGTATGTGAGAGGGGGGAAGACATTAAGAGTATGCACTGCACTGTTTGAAAAAGGTTCTCCAGGAACGAGGTTAAAAACTGCTGTTGTAGTGTAACGCATGTCTAAACTATTTACCATCTTTTAACTGCTTTATTGTTTACTGTGCTTTGATCATCTCATTTAAGCAAAGTAAATAAAAGTTTTGATTCATTGTTTTTGTCCTACAGAGAAAACATGCAGTGCCGTGTAGGAAAAGATTAAGGGAAGCAGCAGGCATCGATGGATCAAGTTCATTTGCAACAAACATTTTGGAAAATCAAACGGAAGAATCATCGGAAGCAAAAGATGATAAGAACGACTCCACCATTTATTATCAAACATCACAATCCAGGCTAAATGCCTTGGTTTTTAATTTTATCGTGGAGGATGTGCAACCCATCTCAATTCTAGAGCAACCTGGCTTTAGGAAGTTGATCGAAGCCCTAAGCAGAGGCAAACGAGTCATGAGTCCGAATGCATTCGTCACTAGGCTTGAAATGGCATTTGATAAAATGAAAACGGAGCTAAAAGCGAAACTCAGCAAAGTACAGACATTATGCACAACCGCTGATATATGGTCAGTGCAGGACAGAAGTTATTTTGGAATGACTTGCCACTGGCTTGAAGACAATCTGGAAAGGAGGTCTGCTGCTCTTGCCTGCACAAGAATCCCTAGCAACTACACTTGTGAAACAATTATTGCTAAAATTCAAGAAACTCATTCTTCTTTTAACATCGAGAGCAAAGTTCAGGCAACCGTCACTGACAACGGTAACAATTTCGTCAAAGCCTTTAAAGAGTTTTCTTCTGATGATGAGCAAGAAGTGGAGCAAAGTCAGTTTGAGGATTTGGGCAGTATTCTTTGTGATGGAGATATAGGTGGAGATTTCTTTCTGAGTTATTTCTTACCACCACACCAGCGGTGTGCGGGTCAAACATTGACCACAATTGCATCGAAGGATCTAGCGGAGGCCGTCACAAAGGGACCGGCTGGCAAAGTTCGCAGCAGCGCAGCTGGAAAGTGTGCAAAGATATGGCACAAGGCCGAGTCCTCCATGGAAACTGCAGTTGCAATGGAATCCATTGCGAACATGAAATTCACACTTCCTTGCCTGAATCAGTGGAGCTCGGAATACTACGCCATTAATAAGCTGATGACACTCAATGATTCACAACTTAATGAACTGACCGAACTTTTGGGTGTCCCTCACTTTACACCTGATGAAACATCGTACCTCACTGAATATACAGATGTCTTCAAACCAGTGGCTTTTGCTCTTGACCTTTTGCAGGGCGAAGAAAAGTGTTTTCTTGGCATCGTGATACCAACATTGTTGACCCTTAAAAGAAAGCTTGAGGAAAAGGCAGCAAACACTCGCCTTTTCTCCAAGGCCATTGAAGAAACGGTAAAGGCAATTGACACTCGCTTCAAGCAGGTGTTTGAGAGTTCTGATGCCAGGCTGGCCACAGTCACCACGCCTCAGTTCAGACTGTGGTGGTTACCAGAAGAGGAGAGGGAAGTGCTTCGGGCACAGTTAATTACTGAAGTTCTACAGGTAGACCAAGGGACTGAAGAACCAGAGACTAATGGAGGCGCCGTTCACGAGGATGAATTCTTCTCGTATGGACCTGGAAGTCCTGGCTACAAATGTGGAAAGAGAGAAGCAGCGGAAGAGGTGTGGCTGTATCTGCAGGGCACAAACAAAGATCTGAAATGCCTCAATGAATTTCCAGGGGTGAAAAAAGTGTTCATCAAGTTCAATACAACTTTGCCATCAAGTGCCCCTGTACAACAGCTCTTCAACAGTGGGGGCAATAACGTCAACCCAAAAGGAAATCCTCTCACAGATGAACAGTTTGAGCATGTGCTCCTGCTACGCTACAACAGCAAAATCATCTCCGCTTTGGAATAAATCATGAGGTAACATTGCTGAGGTTTGTTGTAAAATAGCTTCTTTTTACATGATTTTTTTGTACAGTATAGGTCATACATATGCTCTGTCCTTTTTTATTTTGTCCCATCAAAATATTAGGTTCACACAAAAGCATTTGCCACCAAAAAAAACTAATGTTTATTTCTTAGTAAACGTGTAAACAAAGTTTGGACTAGTCTAGAACTGTTTATAGAATGTGTTAGTCATTGCATAATGTAGATGCATACGAATATTTGTGTCATGTTTAGAGCTGTATTATGCGTATAAATGCGTAACTAATCACACAAAAGTTGCCACATTACTTGGCACTCGTACACACAATGCTTGGTGGAAGGAATGTTTAATCTGATTATCATTACTAATAAAATTATTTTCTGAATTTTGGTCTCCTCTATGGTTTCTGCAATTTTGTAAGGGCAGCATTAGAGATTTTACCATGATCAGGTGGGAATTAAGCAATTCATTTGTTGCTACTCATTTCCATTTGTCGCAGCATAAATTGAGACTTAGAGCAGGCAATGCTTTTCCAATCTTCCGTTGTTCAATTTTGGTGATCCTGTGTGAATTGTAGCTTCAGTTATTCTTAGCAGGCAGAAGTGGCACCCGGTGTGGTGTTCTGCTGCTGTAGCCCATCCTCCTTATGGTTGGATGGGTTGTGCATTCAGAGATGCTCTTCTGCATACCTCGGAATTACAGTTGCCTTTCAATCAGCTGGAACCATCAGTCTGGCCATTCTCCTTCTACCTCTGGCATCAACAAGGCATTAGTGCCCACAGAACTGCCGCTCAATGGATATTTTATCTTTTTCAGACCATTCTCTGTAAACCCTAGAGATGGTTGTGCATAAAAATCTTAGTAGATCAGCAGTTTCTGAAATGCTCAGACAAGCCCATCTGGCACCAATAACCATGACATGTTCAAAGTCACTTAAATCACCTTTCTTCCCCATTCTGATGCTCGCAGCAGATCGTCTTGATCATGTCTACATGCCTAAATGCATTGAGTTGCTGCCATTTAATTGGCTGATTAGAAATTTGCGTTAACGAGCAGTTGGACAGGTGTACCTAATAAAGTGGCCGGTGAGTGTATTTTAGTTGCATATTGCTTTAATTGGATCTTTTATGGTATAATAAAGATGTTATTTTTTGAATTGTTTATAAAAAAACCTTTGAGACTACAATCTAGCAATATTTGTTCACTGTAGAAGGCACGTACATAGCTGCTGTTTTTTCACTGTCAGCTGGAAAAAAAAAAAAACCTTCACATTGCTTAACCGTGATATGATCTCTCTTTTTCTGCCCTACGGGTTAGCTCATAACACAACTCTTTGGAATGTAATAGTGATACATTAGCTGCTGCCTTGCAAAATGAAAGACACTGCAGACGGTGTACCGTGTAATGGAGGATGATCAGATATTTCTGTTACTTCATTCATTCTGATAGCGCGTTTGCCCAGCTACAGAGAGAAACCGGTTGCCAGGCAACAGACAAGTGACCAATCCGTAGGGGCGACATCATCAGCATACTTTAGCCTGGTTAGCCAACCGTGTGGAGAATTCTGGGCCACAAATTGTTTGTCATCAAGCTGTGCCAAACCAAGCTCAGTGGGGAATTATAACTGTAACCGTTCCTTATCGTTCATAGATTCACAGCGCTGCACATTTTTGCTGTGCTGCATATGTAACACTAGTGATAGAGATCATTGGCTCGACAGTAAGCCCTAAAGACTGCCAGATAGGACACCTACTGTTACATTAGATGTAGTCTATGATTTGATATTAATCGTAGTGATGAATTTCTTTCTGATGTTAAATGTTTGTAAATGTAAACTCAATGCAGTGTGATCTGACATTATATTCTCAGAGAACATTAGAAAATACTTTTTATGAATTAAATAGCAGTACTCTAACAGTTAAGGAAATAAAACAAAATTGTTGCCAAATGTATTACTAGACAGAAAATTGCTAATCATTGCAATAATGATGCCATGCTTAAACCCAAACATTAAATAATTTTCAATCGTCCAGGAAATGTATACACAATGTAAGAAATGTATCTATAAAAATGAGGTTTTATCTCTGAATGAGCAAAAACATTTAAATATAACCATATTTTAAAATATTTAAATCAATTTTTTAATTGCTGAAAATGTTGCCAGTAAATAAAATTGACCATATTTCCTCAACAGAACAATATTCATCACTAGCTCATAGAATTATAAATATTCTAAAATAATTTTGAAATATGACTCGCAGCATTATTTTTAATGTTCAAATATTTTAAATATAATATAATGGCTGTTTACTTGAATACTTTTTTATAAGCTTATATAGTTTTATATTTTTTAAGGGAAGGGGCTTTTTAAACCTTGTGGAACAATTGTTCAAACTAAATCTACTATTTAGATCTGATGCATCTTTATCTTACACAATGCACAATGAAAACGAGTAATCCAACAAAATATTTTTCCGCACATTTTATATTGTCATTAAAATCCATTATGTAAATCCTTTCCAGTAGTTTGTCATGAATGACCTCACTTTCCCCAGAGCTTTAAACTTTCAGAATTGAACCACAAATGATCGACTATCAGAAGTGTTTGTTGAACAATTATTTTTATTGATGACGAATGAAATAAGGGAAATTCTATTTCAATACAAAAAAAGCAGGTTGTAGGAGAGGAAACACAGCAGTGATCGTTTTTTTTTTCTAGTCCATTCTGGCCTTCAGGGTGCGTGTAGTTATCTTATCCTTCTCACTGTAAAATAACCACATACACCAATTAGCTCAGTCAGTTCAACTAGAAATGTAAAAACTATATCAAAAATAAATCTGTGCCATGCATCAACACAAATCACTTCAGTCTTGGTTTTAGTGTCAGGAAAAAAATAAAGACCACCTTAAAATCCATTAACTAATGATATAATATATCCACCTTTTTCCTAAGCCCCATGCTGCTTTACAAGAATTATGGGAGTAACTTTAATTAAACTGTAGTACAATTAGTGAAATGTATATTTAAGCGGTTTAGATCCAAATATGCAAATTAGATCAATGCAAAAAATATTGCATAAAGTAAAAGAGAACAAAATTGTCGCTTAACGATAAACAAGCACCAAATATATATACAGTTGAAGTCAGAATTATTAGCCCCCCTGACTTATTAGCGCCCCTGTTTATTTTTTTCCCCCCAATTTCTGTTGGAGGAAATGGAGGGAAGATTGTTTCAGCACATTTCTAAGCATAATAGTTTTAGAAACCTATTTCTAATAACTGATTTATTTCATCTGTCATGATGACAGACAGTAAATAATATTTTACTTGATATTTTTCAAGACACTTCTGTAGAGCTAAAAAGTGACATTTAAAGGCTTAACTAGGTCAATAAGGTGAACTAGGTAGGTTAGGGTAATTAGGCAAGTTATTTTATAACAATGGTTTATTCTGTAGACTATCGGGAAAAAAAAAGCTTTAAGGGGCTAATAATTTTTGTAAAATTGTTTTTTTTTTTAAATTAAAAACTGCTTTTATTCTAGTCGAAATCAAACAAATAAGACTTTCTCCAGAAGAAAAAATATTATCAGACATACTGTGAACATTTCCTTGCTCTGTTAAACATCATTTGGGAAATATAAAAAAATAAATAAAATAAAAATCAAGGGGCTAATAATTCTGACTTCAACTGTGTGTGTGTATACATTTACACACACACACATACACACACATACACACACACACACACACACACACACACACACACACACACACACACACACACACACACACACACACACACACACACACACACACACACACACACACACACACACACACACATACACATATACATATATATATATTTTATATATATATAAAATGGAATTGGTTGTGGTAAGAGAAACCACTGTGGGCCTTTTTCTGGGGTTGGGGTTGTCAATCATACTAAAATAATACGTGGCAGAAGATTACTCAAAAGTGAAAGTTCTTTCTGTCTTTAATTACTAACACTCCCGTCCTTCCTACTACTTTCAGAACATAAATTTTGATTTTTTACCATATAAAAATGCAATGAAATTATGAAAAGTGTGAAATTAAAGGCAATAGTGCAGAGATTAGGTTCCTGCGTCAGGTCAGGGTGCGCCAGTAGCCTTTAAAACTGAGGTGAACTAAACTCACACAGGAAAGAACTGGACATTCATTTCATTTTTTGGTTACCTAATTCTTTTAATACAGCTCTCTTGATCACTAAAGGGAAAAAAACGCAAACGAAATTTGTCCTTCAATAAATTTTAGCAGAGACGCAACTGCCTGTCATTTTCATATTTGTTTTCCAGTTAGGGATTACGTCTATTAGAGTAACCTAATAAAAACGTTTTGTTGGACACTGCACAGTAGTCTAAACTATAAACAATATTATAATTTATTATATTCATTATTATTAAAACTAATAAGCTACACAATTAAGAAAACCCTTTTAATGTTTGCTTTCATTTTGACACCGCTAACAGTTGTAATAAGAAACATCCCATTATGTAGCAGCAGTCTCAAGTTAGGACACTTAAAAATGCCTTTTGAGTTTAAAGATGATCAGACTGCCAAGTCAAGTTTACAGTGTCATAAATTAAATGAGTATAGTGCATGAGTAACGCGTATTTGCCACATCAACCTCTCATATGCGCTGCAGGTAGGCTGAATGATGATCTTTAAAAAAATATGCAATACAAAAACTTAAACCTTTATGTTTTTTTTTAAATAAAACGGAAAGAAATAAGAAGTAAAATACCATTTAAACCACTGGTCTGGCGCTGAAGCCATGATCTTAGAGCCATACTTTATTGTTTGTAGCAAGAAAAAAAAACAGATGAAAACCTGGCTGGGCAAATGGCGATAACATGGATTATCTGTTCTTCAATGAGAAAAGATTGTGGACACGACATTGTGAAGGCGTTCATCATACAATGCAGTTCGTGTTTATGATAATTAATATATTGCATATTAATAACTTCTCTCTCTAGACTTGGTTTTAGGTCTAGTCGGTGCAATATAGGTTTATGGCATGTACGAATCAGATTATGAAGAATGATTAAGAGCTTGCATTTTTTATTGCATCCTTTTCGCAAGTTATTTTACTTATCTATTTTTTTTAAATGGAGAAAACATTATTCACTGGCAAAAATATTCCTACCGTACCACCAACAAATAAAGTAGCCTACCTAAGTTAATTTACCTTTTATGTAAAAATTAAGAAATACCTTGTAACTTAATTAAATATAAATAAATAAAACATCCGTATAAACGTACATGTTTTTACTTGAGTTAATAAAACAACACAATACTGCTTATTAATATTGTAGTTAAATATTAAATGACTTTAACTGCTTAAAACCGTAATATAATAAAAATAACTGTTACATTAAGAACTTCACAAATAGCCTAAAAGGCACTTTACTAATCAGTAATAACATAAATATTATTAATTATAAGATGTACAAAATATTAGCCTACTAGTAACAATATAAGTTCGACGTTTAAAAAAAACAGTGTAGGCTCTCCACCTTTTGTTTCCTATTCATAAATTAAGTTGTTTGCCAGGAAAATAACATGTTGACTTTATCCGGTTTAAGTGAAGACCTAATTGGGGTTATCATGTTTCCAGCAATACACGTTCAGACGGTGTGCTTGTAGCGCAAATGCAGATACTTTCACAACCGTGCAAGAGAGGGTTTCTTGTTTCTGTTCTGCCGCCCAATAGGCTTGCCACGATAGACGGTGTTGACGTTGATACCGGTTTTAAGACGCAACACAGGTGACATCACTTTTCCACCGTGACACCGTCCCCACATTTTTTTTTTTAAGTATTTGTTTTTTTTATTTTTTATTAAATATTTATTTGAAATAAATGGAAAATAGAATTTGTAATAATTAAGACAAGAGCATGCACTATAATTAAAATCTGAACATAGCAATGCGTCATATTTTATTTATTACGTGAGGAGAAGAAATACGCAGGGCATACTCTCATTTTAAAAATCACACGACCATCATCTCACAATGTTTAATAATAGATATCTTATTTTTTTATTAAAACAAGAGTGATTTAGCAATGCCGCGCCATTGACAAGCCAACTGCAATTAAAACTAACTACAAAGCAACCCTTGCGGCAACTGCAGTGAGCACTTTTTCAGTTCAGCTCTTCTTTCTTGCACTTTATGCATTTCATGTAAAAAAAAAATAAATAAAATAAAGATGAATATGCCTACAAGAGTGCAACCTGTGTGTGTGCGCGTCTTTTATCACAGAGGCCACTCTCTTTAAAAACCGATAGTTACTTCGTCTGTCTGGAAATATTTCAGCTATTAATAAATAAAAAGTTAATTTAGGTGAGCCAATCTTAAAAATTGCTATAAAGTAACTGTAAAGTGCGGCCACACATCGAATCTGAGGTCTGATCTGATCTCTCTCTCGCTATAATTCAGACATCAAGACGCCAAACAAGTCAAGTCACAAAACTGAGGCTGTTGCAGCTGACAGGTAGAATAGCTGAAGCCTTTGTGAAATCTGTCAAAACACAGCACTGAAATTAACAGGCATAAATGTCTTTGAACCAAAAAGTCACTCTTTATCTGTCAAAACGCAATTGGAGTCAATGTTATGTAGGAGTTGTGTAGCCTAATAATCATACTAAATCTAATAAAATGAAAATCTAAATAAACTATTCATTGCATATTTCGTTTGATAAAAATATACGTAAACGGAAAAAAAAAAATCAAAGGGTGGCTAGTTTGTATTAATGTGTCTTAATATTAATAAAAATATGCAGCCTATTTAAGCTTAACGGTTATATACCGTGCACCACGTTACTGAACTTCAATATCTGTGAGGGAGATTATATCACCCGATAGACAACATTAACATGAGGGATTTTAAAAATAAAAGGTATTTTATAAAAGGAACAACACGCAAATCGGCAACAAATAAAACATCTTGCCAGGGTATGCTGTGTGTAATCCGCCACTGACAGTGACATAAGACACCTTATGCAGTGCCTGTCAACCGCTTCTTGTGGGAGAGAGCTCAAAGCTGGTAACAACATAACCAAAAAAGCAAGATCATATAGTTATAAATATTCCATAACAATACTTATCGAAATATTTATACATTTACATGTTGTTTTTGAGATTGTGTGATCTGTATAGACTGTCTGATCTTTACAGAAGCTGTAAACTGACATGCATGCGGTGATGTTGACGAGGCGCTTTTATTTAGCCTGTAGTCTTTAGATTTTTTACATCATGCTTCAATTCTTAACATTTCTTTCTTTTTTTAATTTATAGTTTATATATAAAATGAGTGCTAGCTTGTTTAGTTGTGATCATTATGCAAGGTATTAATATATAATGCATTAGGCTAATTAATACATGAAGAAATTGAAGTCAGGTAGGCCAACAAAAGACAACCAAATATGTTCCCCCTGTTGGCAAATGTAACCAAACTTTTTGCGTGTGCGCAAACAAGCTGCGCATCTGACAGAGTGTTCAGCACGATGGGGAACATAGTGAGCCTCACAAGATCCCATCTTAAGCCAGAGATGGTCAACATATTGGCCAGGTTTCCTGGCAAAGAACATGTAGACTGCACTGTTAATAAATGCCAATTTACAGTGTTTTTGTTTATTTCTTTTTTTTTTAAAGACTGTGTCGACCTGTCATTTTTGTAATGTCATTTTGGAAGTTTTTCTTTTATATTTGTTTCTTGTTGATTCGTTTAATCTAATTTAAACTTTGTGCAATTTAATTATTTATCTTTCTATTTTATTTTCTTATTCTTTTTAAAAACATTCTAACATCTAACATTCATCACATTCCTCCATTCAAACAATTGATGCCGAATTGGCAATTCCTGCAAAACTGAAAGTATTATACGCATGCATTTATAAGCCATTTAAAAGCAGAAAGAAAAGAGGAAACCCCCACCCCCACGGTGATACCGGTATTACCGGTGTTGTCACATATCGATTAACCGGTGGGGAAATTTCCTCATCGTCACAACCCTACCTCCCGAATTTCTCAGAAGGCCGATTTCTCTACACTGCGAAGCAGCGAGCTCTTAACTAAGTTAACAAATATGTTGCTCCATTTCTCATAAATGTCTTCCATTTATCACTTTCTCTTTTGTATCTGGCCATTTTTGGAAATGCCTCTGCAATACCTGGTTGACTAGCTGAGCATTTGTGTTTAAAAGACAGGAGTTTATTATAAGTGGCTTTTTTTTCCCCTCGCTGCCGTCAATCGCCACTAGCTTGGATGGTTCGGGACCCGTGGAGCTGCGCATCGATGGATTTGCTCTTCAGTATTTGGACTCTCAGCGGTGAATATTAAACCACACTTTAACACTTTTTAACACTAATTAAAAAAAAAAAAACCTTACAAAAAGCTTAATCCAGATTAATTGGTTCACCTTTCTCGATCGGCACAAATCCAAAAATTTCCCAAATATAAGATTTCTTTTTCCAACAAGTTTTATGGTTAAACTTGAGCTTGCTGAATTGCGCCTAATGTTATATTCTAACAAATGTAATAGATGGCAACTTAACAGTAATTTGTGTTTTAAAGTACGTGACATCACGTACTACCGCCGGTGGCAATGACAATCTAGGGCTGTGACTGTCACTGTGACAACTGCAGTGGTCAGTTTCAGCGGTGGCAATTGACTACCGCAGTTGTCACAGTGACCGTCACAGCCCTAGATTTACACGGCACTGAAAAACTCTAGTGTCTGTGTTTTTGCACAACAGTAAAGAATGGTGAACCGATGACTTTCACGACCAATCACAATCATTTCTGTTAAGCATGTAAACACAACGGCCAATCAGCGGTGTGTAAGAATACACACAAATATTAGCCAGAAATGGACCTTTTTAAAACATTTGGTTCAAGATAGTACCAAACTCGATACTTTTGACAACCCTACTGGGATTATCTAATTACTTCCAGCAAATCATGAATAACCCCAAGAACTAATAACGAGTATTTCCGCAGTAATATTAAGGACATTTTAACTGTAACTGTTCTGTTAAAAAATTAAAAATGTAATAATCTGGGGGAACAAAACACATGGAACTCAGGAGTGATAATAATGCCACATTAATAAAGCGCAAGATTTGTATGGCACAAAGTCAACTAGCTCGGTTTTCATCATGTATGTTTTTTTTTTGTAGCTCAGTCTTATTTTTGATGCGATTTGTCTAAGTTGTTTTGAACAGAAGCTCCCCAAACCACAAATGCAACCCATAATTTTAAACCCAGTAGTAACATGTGGAAAAAGGTGGATTAGGTTGACGGGATTCGACAAAACACTTACATGACATGAACAACGACTCCCATTCCAGACACTGCATCTCTGTCGACAGCATTCAACATGGCCTGTGAGATGGTCTCAAATAAGTCTTCTGGTTTCTAAAGAACACAACAGAGAACAGAAACTATATGAGGCTACCAGATCTCTGGATAAGAGGAGACGATACAGCCTTGCAGAATTGTTCTGCTTCTCTTACCATGTCAGGTTCCCATAGAGACTCACACATGCCGTACATCTGCTCCGAGCAAGTACCACTCACAACAAAGTCTTCTGTTACCATTGGGCATCCGATGAGGTCAAGAGAGCAGATGAAGGGTTCAAAGGTCTTGGGGTCCAGACCAGCAATCACTGGCTCAATGTAGTATGGACCAAACCTGATATTGAGATAACACAGAGAATGTTCTATTTAGCTATGTTGCAGATGTGGGACATACATAGTCTACTACTGAAGTGTCTTCAAAAGCAGGGTTGAAAGATCTAGAATCATATTGACTGAAATCATATGATTTAGTGAATGTTTGACAATATTATGCTTTCTACAGGGTGAAGATAAAGAAATTAAAGTGAAAATCAGCTCTCCATCAATCAGCAAGGTGTCAGGCATCCTGACCAGTTTTATGGAGTGTCAGACACACTGCATACACATGAACTGTGCTTTCAAGACATGGAAAGTGAAACTCATGTAGTCAGTCTTTTCAAGTGCAGACAAGTTATAATGTGTCATCGCCAACTTATCCTAATCCAAAATCTCTAGTCTGTATGAACTCTTCGATAAAAAAAATCTTAGCTTATATGACATCTCTGATTCGAGAAACGCCATCACCTCTCTGCGACTGGGCAGAATGAAGGTATGCTCACTCTACTGGTTAATAAGGCTGTCACAGAAACACCAGTTTTCCCACCATTTTTTTTCCACCAGTTTTTTCCACAAACACCACTTTTTCCACCATTGATTGACTGCACGCAATTAAAGTTGTCAAAAGTACCAAATTCGGAAGCTATCATGCATATTAATGAAGTTGCACTTCATTCACAATAAAGTGCGCTAATTGGTTTGAACCAAGTCTCATGAATTAATGCTGCACAACGAGATGTCACGCTGTATACACAAGGATCCAATCGCCGTGACGCAGCATCAAAAATTTCAAAAGCAGAAAGAACGAATTTGCTCGAAATTACACTAAAACAACCAATTTTCACTTTTTTTGTGAAATATATGTCCTAATAGTGTTTATAGCAGGGTGGGACTCGTATATAGCTGTGTTTCCACTATCGTGCCTAAAACGAGCAAGCCAAGGCCAGTCGCGTATCCACTGTAACGTCCGGGGTGTAATCGGGGCTTTCTTGGGGCCAGCGGCTGGCCTTTTTCAGCCCACCGAATACCTTTGGCCAAAGAGGGCCAGCTGGGGCTTCGGGGCAGAGTGAAAGAAGAGGCGGGCACAGTTTTCCGATCGCACATGCGGCAAACAAACAAATAAATAAATAATTAAGGGAAAGAAAACATCTAGCCTTATGGGGTCTTTTTGCGCATGATCACCCTTATGTTTCCCTTTTAAATGTAAGGATGTTGCATTAAATAATAAAGTAGTTTTATTTTATAGTGACTTAAAGTCACTAAGTAATTTAAAGATTTTCGAGAGTTATTGTCAAGTTTAAAAGGTGCATTTGTGCACGTTTAAATGCCTGTATGTGTGTGTGAGAACAAGACAAAGAGCGCTATCTTTACAGCTGTGTTGATGCTGCTTTTTTTTTTCTTTTTTTTGGAGATAATAATACACAACATAAATACAACAGAAATACATAAAACTTAACAAATTATGTGCCCACTTTCATAGACTTTAAACAATATAGTGTCATATCTTGATAAATTGCCTAAACTGTTTTGAAATATAATTTAAAGAATTACAAATATCGTATATGATAAATCGCATTAAATAAATAAACCAGTATAAAATAAACAAAAGCTAGGTAGAACAATGTAGGTAACCTATATATAATACATAAATCAAACTGTTCGTTTTAAAGCCATATAACTTTCATTTTACAAAGGCTTATCTGAAAAAAAGATTTTAGATATTTTCTAAAAACAATAAACAGCGAAGAAGCTTTGAAATACTAGTTATAAAGTATTGGGATACGATAATATTAATCAAATCGTGCAAACAGGGCATTTTTGGTGTAAGAGAAAGCAGAATCCAGCCTACTTTTTTTCTGTCATGCAGTCCTGCGCAGCACTGCTTTAAACGCATTGGGGAAAACTGCAAACACAAAATGTGTTCTATATCCTCAAACAAGTGTTTATGTTTTTATATGACGTGGTCAAATTTATAAATGAAACTTTAAAAGTAGAGCTTTAGTAAATAGCTGCTGAGCGCAACAAATACTTTTTCAGGCTACTTGCTCTTATATGCTGAAACACTTAACACGACGTCTATGAAAACAAGGATGTTATAAAATACATTTCATACCTAGCCTCATACCTCACTGTGCTGGGCCCTCCGTTAGGCGAGAGCACTCGATGCACAATGCCAACAGTCGGTCGGTGAGTAAACAAATGTAATGAATGGTAATACACAGGTCTGTGCTTAAAGACATATAATGAACTGCTGTACAGTAACGGGTCATTTGTTTGTTTCGGTTGTCTTCATTTTAATGGTTTCATTTCGTGATGATTCTATGGTGTGCTTTATCTGCCCGATTCCCGCTGAAGTGGGCGGGTTGTGTGACGTTTGATTCGGGGGATCGTTCTGGGGGCGGGGTTTGTGCAACGTGATGCGAGCTACTAGCCCAACAGTGGAAACGCGACATGATTTTGGCCTCATTACTCATCTCCCGGGCGATTGGCCCGGCCCGGCCCGATAAAAGCCCTGGCTCGCACTGGCCCGATAGTGGAAATGCGGCTTATGACTCATGCTTTGGTGTTTCGTGACCCTTTATATACATCCATTTCCCACTAACATTTGAGCGCTGGGATTGGCTGTGAAGGTCATCAGTTTACCACTGTTCATTTTCACAGATACTCAGATGTCAGCTCAAAGACAGATCAGCTAACTGATGTGGCCTTCACACGCTCCAGCATCCAAGTATCTTTGTTTGCACTAGATGAAGAGTGGTTCGCCAATGATCAATCACAGTCATATCATTGCATTCAAATGCAATAAGGAAATGGCCGTTTTAAAAATTTCAGCACCGGATGTATCGAAGTCGCATTACTTTTAAACATAAGTCATATTATTTGATTTAGTTAAAAAAAAAAATGTAACAAGTTACTTTTTACCTTGCTTAATTGGCGTTTACAAAATATATTGCGGAATAAAAAGTACCTTAGTTAGGTTAATGGACACTTAATAAGAAAAGCGTGCTGCGAGGGAAGACAGTCAGCTCACACTCATTATCGGGTCTCTTTTTTTATGGCAGATGATTTAGTTTACTGTTCTAGTAACTGAATAACTTGGAATATTGGTTTATTTCGAGTCAGAGGGGGTATCCGGTATGTTAGTACTGAAGATGCAAACAGTTTCACAACAACTCAGTTAAATTTAATGAACTGGTTCGACCAGTTCACTTAGAAGATTCGGTTAAAAACATGATTCATTTGCGTATCGCAATGGCAAGAGATGCAGCCACTGTCTAACATTTCTGTAAAAGCAACTACGTTTTGTAATATAGTACAGGGCTTGAAATTGCGACCATTTTGGTCGCATATGCACCCGAAATTTTATCAATGCGACCTCAAAATATATTTGGGAGCATTTTTGCGAGTGCTTAAAATTGTTGTGTGCGACCAGTTTTTACTGCAAAATGTTCACCACATGCGCGGATTCGGGAGACATTCGCACAGAACGCATCTCTGCACTTGAAACACGAAACGCAGTGTTCAGGAATGGTTTAAAACAGTTGTCATTTTGTTTTCAGTTGTCAACTTGCTGCAGTGAACAAAGCCAAGTCACTAATGCTTGCCCCACCTTCACGCTCTTCTTATCCGCTTGTTAAGTGGTGACGTATGTAATACTGTTTCCGGGTCCAAGCCGCCATTCATTTGAGTAGAGAAATCATTCGTTTATGATCACGTTTTATTCCTATCACACATTAAAGTTACTTTTATATAAAATCAAAGTGTACACAACAATCTCTGGGCTTGCTGCATAACAAATACCAAAAATTTAACAATTTATAAAAAAATGAATCACTTTCTGGCCATCGGATTAGGCATGGCGATCGTGATTTTCGAAAGTATTAAATCGCTTTGTAAACGTTTATTATTACCATTTCATGAGTCTCCCCATTCAGTTGAATAGAGCGCTTGGACCCGGAAGCCGCTTCGCGTGACGTCACACTTAACAAGCGGATTGGCCCACCACTGCTCTAGCACTGAACGCGAATGATTGGTTAATATTAGGTGTCAATCACTCAGTCAGTGCCTTCTAGCTTGGGATGACAGAGAGAGCTACTACCGCGAAAAATTGTAAAGCGCTGAAGATGAGAATGAAGATAACACTGACAGATTTTGTTTTAGAAACCATGGCATCTTCAGTTACAAATAATGACACATCTTAGTAGTGATCATGAGCTGAATGTTAATCCACCATCTACAATTTTCCAAGAGTGGATAAAAGACTTCCAGTGGCTTCAAGTCCGCTATGAAAAGTCTGGGATGGAATTTTCAGGTAACTGTTTGCCACATCTAGCACGCGTGCTTCCGTTTAATTCTTCATATAATCGCCAGATGCTGTCCGCCGTGCAAGTGGCTGCAATATGTAAAATGTAACGCCACGTACACCATCGCAAACGGGCTTGCACTGAGTAAACAAATATCGCTACTCCTAAAAAGACCGGTATTGCTATTAACATGACGTATGCATATAATAAGGTACAGTACATGTCAAAAGCATCAGTGTAATATCAGACAGCACTTGTGAGAACAGCACAGTTATACCGATAACAGATTCATTCAAGCAGTGCGTGCAGCACTATCAGCAGTGGCTGGTGAGCACTCCGTGTATCTTTTGGTCAGCCAGTTATGTTATAAAATGTATTTTCTTGTGATAACAGGATTTTGTTGAGACATATTTTCCTCACGCATACATATATAAATATTTTTTTGCTTGTTAGTTTGATTACTGTTGATTTCAAACGCAATAAATATGTTTCTTGTATAAAACTTGTAGTAACAATGCTCATAATTGGTGGGTGCGACTAAATTTTGGCTGATGCGCCGAATTTTTTTTAAGTTAGAAGGACCGGTGCTACCAAGCAAAAAGGTTAATTTCGAGCCCTGTAGTACGATTTTTTTCTCTTTTGAGAAACGATTTACACATTGAGTTAAGGCTATGTGAAGCAATTTATTCAATTTATAAAGCTCAAAGATTTATTTTAGTTTTGGAAAGTTTCTTATCGTCTTACTGTTTATTTTGTTATTAAACATTTTAAAGGTTTAAAATCTGTTTTGCCTATAAAGGTGATTGTTAAATGCAGAGCTTCTTTATAAGAAAGGTAAAAAAAAAACACTTGCAAGTTCTGACAGAGATCAAACCTCAGCCAGGTAAGGAAAGTAACTCAAAAGTAATACAACATATTACTTTACATAAAAAGTAACTAAGTAACACAATCAGTTACATTTTTGGGTAGTAACTCAATATTGTGATGCACTGCTTTCAAAAGTAACTTTCCCTAACACCGATCATGGGTCTAAATCAACTACTTTTTCTAACCACTTTTGTTGTGAGAACAGTAAAGTTTTGGCATGGCAAGTAAAAAATAAAAATAACTGAACCACTTTCTTGAGTAGACCATTGATCCCTTAGCATAGGCTGCAGTAATGTAAAGTAGGTTTTAGCTTCAAATAAGAGTTTGTAATATTGTGATTCACCTTGTAACTGGATGATTTGGTTCATGAATTATAATTCTTCAGAAGTGCATTTTTACCTCCTCTCATACAGAAGATTGGACACCATGCTCATGAAGGTCCTTGGCTTGATCTGACGACCTTCTTTCAGCTCATACAGGTTCAGGCGGAACTTCAGCCTTTGAGATCTAGAATAAAGGAAAAAGGTTTTAAAAGACTAGTTTAGAAACAAATAAAAAGACACGAGTTGGGTTTCATTTGATAAGATCTTTACACATTTGATGCATTCTTACACTGTCTGCACATCTGTGGCAAGGCCTGCCAGTCCGATGTAGAGTCTCTCTCCCATAGGGAAGATCTTCTGGAAGTCAGTGGTAACCAGCTGCGCCTGGATGCCAAACCTCCGGTCTGATGCTATCGCCACACACTCCTTTCCACGCATTGCCATGACGGCACCTCCGTTATATGACATAATAGACTATAGACAGAAAAGAAACAATTACAGATAAATATTTCGAACTGTCATTATAAACATAAACATGTTGTCATCATCATTGTACCACAATACACATGGTAAAGTCTAGATAGGTTACAGCTGTTGATACGATACATACATCAATATAGCATCATTTTTGTAACACTGTATAAAAATAACTAATATTTTTACAGTACTGTGACAGTTGAGTTTAAGGTTAGGGTAGAAGTTAATAAAATACAATAAATGGGAAATTTTATAAATAATTCTTGTTAACTTCTGGCCCCAACCGTATCTGATCTAGCAACAACCAACACACACTGCAATCAATAACATTCAATTGTATGCTATTTTAAAATAAATAACATTATATTATATTTTTGAGGGAAAAGTACTTTTTATTTACTCATGTACTAATGTAAATAAAAAAAATAAAAATAAATAAAATAAAAAAAATATATATATATATACATATATATATATATATATATATATATATATATATATATATATATATATATATATAGTTCTTATATTAATTTCAGTATTATTGAATATTATGTAGGTTTACATAATTTATTTGCATTACAGTTTGTAGGGTAATATCTTCTGTCTTTTAGTAGATATCTCATATATATTTTGAGACTTTTAACCAATATAAGTTAAAAAGTGATTTGTTTTTTCGTGTTTTAAGTTTAGTTACTATACTCTCAAAATCATCCTCATTACCCTGCAGATATTTATTTTAACAAAGGTATGCACATAAATAGCAAAAAATGGCCACAGATCCTACAACTAATAATTTAGTTATAATGGATTTAATAACTAAACAATATTTTGCAGTGTGTTTTGTGTTTGTACCTTGTCTTGCATTCATATCAGAAATGCTTATAAAAGTGATAAACTCAAAAGAGGGTCATGCGGAATTTCCATTTTAACACTGATACAATTTAAAAGTATGTATGTATTAAATAAAGAAAGCACGCCTATGATTAGCGATCAACATCCACATTTAACTTAACATATTAATTATGCGCAAAAATAGAAAAAAAAAGGCTGCAGATTGTTCTATAACTGCATTACCAAGAAAAATAAAGATTGCATTTCTTAACTCCTAATGTCACGAGTTAGACACATTTTTTACAACATCGCATAATTTCTAAAATATCAACCTCTCCCGAATGGTTAATATGTCGGTTTACGGTAAAAGTACCAGAATTAATTATATATAAATATACTTTAAAATCTGAAAATATGAAGTATAAGACTATTTTTTTTTTTACAATAAATACCAAAATCAAGTGTAGTAGTGCAACAGTATTATGTTTTTTTTGTAAACCAACCATAGTGTGTAGTGTAAATCATTATTTAAAACGGACAATATTTAAAACAGTAAAGGTAAAAATAACTAGGTGAAGTTGGTTTTATCTTCGCACAAATTCGTTCAGTGACATTTTGCGACATTGTCCCTATATTGTTTACCATGATACTTTTTAAAATTCGGTGTGAAATTACATGCAAGCATGACTTCAAAACAACACCAGCACTAATTCACTGACTGTGAATCATGTTGTACTTTGAAAGTTATTGGCTGCTAATATCATTTCACAATATAGAATTCGCAAATACTACATTATTGACATTTTATTATTAAGGAGAAGGTCAGCATGTCTGAATATAAAACCAACAATAGAGCAGGCATTTAAAGTGTCAACAACTAATGTTAAACGACAGCTTGCTGCTTTTGTTTTCGTGTTCGTACCTCGCCTGACGTTTATATCCGAAATGTTTATAAAAGTATTATTCAAAGGGGGGACATTTAAAATTGATATATTTAATAAAGCACGTCTATGATTAGCGATCAACATCTATAATTAACACATGAAGTGAAACAGTTACTTTCGATTTAACGTTAAATGTGATCGATTCAAATAATCCATTAAAATATTAGCTACTCGCCCCATTTAACTAAAACTCACTATTCAGGGGTGCTTATCAACTTATTAAAGTTACATAATAAAGACAATATAGCCTGCAGGTTAGAATAAAACATTATATAGCAACTTTCGTTTGGAAAGATGAGATGGCAAATGAGCTACAGTGCTAATACAGACGATTGTATTCAACAAGAGAACTTAATCCTTTACGGATACTGACTTACCATGATGGCGGATGTAAAAGTAGGGACCAATATGAAGAATTATTTGGAAAAATACGACTGTTGTGCTGAAATATATAACAGTAGACCGGGTAACACACGGTGACTACACACTTTCTTTCAAGCGCTGCTAGTTGTTCCTGCTGGTTGCGTCATTTCCGACTTACGCATCCCTACAGCGCCTCTGCTGGACAAAATACTTAGCTGACTGTTAAATATATTTTTTTCTTTTACATTACGATTCTAAAGGTTTAAAATACTGTTTGATTCATACTCGTATAATATATTAAGCTAGAGAATTTTGTTTTACTTTAGTCACGGAAGACAACAACTGAATAAAAGAAACTTGTACTTCACCATCTATCGACAGAGGGCAGTAATGCGCTGTCTTCATTCTAAATCCACACTGGTGGGAAAAGGACAGAAGAAAACAATGCCAAACAAATCACTAAACTAAAATGGGCTCAGAGGAAATGATTTTTAAATGTAAGTTGACAGTTTTCAAAACATCCAAACGTGTCTCTCAATGAGTAGACTTATATGTTTAACGATGCTTCCTGCACGTAATGCTGCACCAGTAATAACCGCATGCTTATGAAGCACGTCGTGTTTTTGTCCATGTGATTCATTCTGTTTTCAAGTAACTGTATATTTACCAGTCATCTCTGTGCATTTAGGGACTGATGCCAACACGGCAGATCTGATTGTGTGGAGAGTCACTAACAACAGTCTGTTTACTGGCAGGAGAAATGCAGCCATTAAAGCATACGAGTGAGTCAAAGCTGTCCTTGTTTTACTGAAAACTAATATCTTTCATTCGTCTTACTTGATGCTTTCAATCTACAGGTTGTATGTGAAAGAGAAACAACTGCAAGGGAAAGTGGCACCTACGTGGGTTCGAAAGAAATGGGAGAATCTAAAACAGAAGTATAAGGTGAATTGTTTTATTCATGCATTCAGACATCTTCAGAGATTCTTTAAAGGTGACCTATTATGCCCTTTTTTATAAGATGTAAAATAAGTCTCTGGTGTGTATGTTAAGTTTCTGCTCAAAATACCACACAATTAATGTTTTAGGACTCTTTAAAAACAACCCCTTAGGCTTTGATCCACATTGTGCGGTTTTGGTGACTGTCACTTTAAATTTAAATGAGATGATCAAAAAGACCCCCAAAAGAGGGTGGAGCTATAAACGCCTATGCATTAACATAGTGGCAGATTTAAAACTCTAATTATGTGTTCACACCAAAGGCTATTCAAACGTAAATAGACGTATGGACATTTTCAGTTTTATAGCTTCATTTGTGCATAAAAATCACTTCACAATAGAGACGGATTCACGTCATGGCCTGGCTTATGTCTGCTTGGTGAATTTATTTATGGATTTTATTGAGATAATACCTGTGTTTATGTGCTTTAGGAATGCTAAAAACAGTGTATATATTCATTTGGCACTGTGTCTGAGTCCACAAGATCCTTTCAGAGGTGCACCCAGCTCTATGAGTAGGTGATGGAGGCTTTCATCTGTGTTTCTGATTGAGCTGAGCCCAGTTTGATGAGCTGTTGTCCGGTTTCGGCAAGAGGACGCTAACAACAGGCGCTACGTCATAATAACGCCCCTACAAGAGAAAGCTCCTGATTGCTTAATGCGGAGCAAAGTTCAGATTTTCCAACTTGGGTGATTCGCGTGATACGTGCACCACAATCACAACTAAACAATCAACTCGCGTTGAACTAAACAATCAACTCATTCATGTCGCAGGATATCTATTCGTGTCTTTGCATTGACCTAAAATGTAAATCACTCACGCAAGACGCTTTATCCGCATCTGATGTGAACGCAGCATAATAGCGAACTGCTGCTGCTCACTCATGTCACACAGATGTGTTTAAACCCCTTATAAAAGTTATTTTTGCAAAATAGTTCCCCTTTAATATAATCAATTTAATACATTATTTTTCAAACCAAATACGTTTGTGACAAAAAAAAATCAAATAATAATGACATTTAAAATATGTGTACATTTAAGTTGAAAAGAAAGTTAATGTCTTATTAAAATAATTTTTTTTTTTTGCTGAAATGATTTTATAGTAATAAAAACATTTTTATAGTGCTGAGGCTAACATAATTCATCAACATTATAACTATAATGAACCTCTAGATCAGGGGTGTCAAACTCAATTCCTGGAGGGCTGAAGCCCTGCACATTTTAGTTCCAACCCTGCTCCAACACACTTACCTGTAGGTTTCAAACAAGCCTGAAGGACTCAATTAGTTTGATCAGGTGTGTTTAATTAGGGTTGGAACTAAACTGTGCAGAGCTGCGGCCCTATTGGAACTGAGTTTGACACCTGTGCTCTAGATATTTCGAATATTTCATTACCCCATCAATGCAATTAATGTTTTTTTTAATCACATTGTCAGCCTTTACATTTACATTTAGTCATTTAGCAGACTCTTTTATCCAAAGCGACTTACAAATGAGGACAAGGAAGCAATTTACACAACTATAAGAGCAACAATGAATAAGAGCTGTAGTCAAGTATCAGGTGTGTAAAGACAGTGTAAGAAGCAAAACATTAGTAATTTTTTTTGTTTAGTTAGTGGAGGAGTCAGAAAGGGAATTGCATATTAGTAAGGAAAGTGGAGACTAAATAGTTGAGTCTCTTTTTGAAGACATTTATTGACCCAAAACCTCTTCCAAACCCATTTAATTTTTTTTCTTCAGTTAAACACAAAGTTAGGAATACATTCTGAATAACGTAAAAAAAACAAATCCGCCATTGACTAATTTTTGCTTTTATTATGGTTGTCAATACTTGCATTTGCATTTAAAAGAAGCAAATTAAATATATGTGTAAAACTAGAATAATCACATGAAAGATTTTTAATAAAAATAAATAATTCTATCCAATGAGTCAAAAAGACAATCATCAGTTCTTGATAAACTGGCACCAAATATAAAAATGAAAAACGGAATTTGCTGCGGTGAGAGAAGCTGCGTCAGTTTTCTTACAGTTGAAGTCAGAGTTATTAGCCCTCTTTGATTTCTTTTTTCTTTTTTAAATATTTCTCAAATGATGTTTAATAGAGCAAGAATTTTTTCACAGTATGTCTATAATATTTTGTCTTCTATAATTTGTCTTAACAAATTTCTTATTTGTTTTATTTAGCTAGAATAAAAGCAGTTTTTAAATCCATTTTAAGGTCAAAATTATTAGCCCCTTTAAGCTATATATATTTCGATAGACTACAGAACAAACCATTGTTATACAATAACTTGCCTAATTACCCTAACTTACCTAGTTGACCTTATTAACCTAGTTAAGCCTTTAAATGTAACTTTAAGCTGTAAAGAAGTGTCTTGAAAAAGATCCAGTAAAATATTAATTGCTGTCATCATGGCAAAGATAAAATACTATTAATAAACTATTATGTTTAGCAATGTGAAACAGAAATTGGGCAAAAAAATAAATGGGGGTAATAATTCAGAGGGGTTAATAATTCTGACTCCAACTGTATATAATTCATTACTTGCGCTGCAGAAGACAATGGCGACATGCAAAAAACTTGTAGTGGAGTTTGGAGGCGTGAGGCGCTCTTTACGAGCGGAGATGCTCAAGAGGTAATGCCTTGGAGGTAACATTATTCTAATAAAAATATTAATGAACCACTATTACGGCAGGCTTTAGTTAATGCATTTTAACAGGATCTAAACAACATTTCAGATATTTTACAATAGCTGTTCCAGTATGTGTTTGAATGGACAAACCTGCGGTTAAGCATACTGTAAAACATCTGGGGCCTCATGTACGAAGACTTGCTTGGAAATCATACTAAAACATTGCGTATGCACAAAGCTGTAAATGTGTGTACGCAGAAAAAATTCAGATGTATGAAACACTGCGTACGCCGAGTTCCACGCATATTCTTTTGTACATCCGAATGAACGTGAAACTGAGCGCAACATGCACGAGCACAAAACCCCTCCCTGCCTCCTCCCCCGTATGAATATGCTAATGACTCTACTTTGGCAAAACCCAACGAAAAAGCAATGGCAAAAGCAAGCAAAAAGAGAAACTTTGAACAGAATGTGAATTGGAGGTGCTGCTTTCGGAGGTAAACCGGAGAAAAGCGGTGTTATTTGCAAGTTTGTTCTCCGGAATTAACAACAAAAGAAAAAAATAGAGTGGGAGAGTTTAGCTGATGCGATTAACACAGTTGGGTCTGAACATCGCACTGAGTGAATTAAAAAAGAAATAGTGTGGTTTATAGGTGTAAAATCTTGCACCACCCTTAACAGTTTCAGTAGCGCAGCTCGTAAGACGCAGGTCAACATGTTTTACACGTTCGAGCATGAACTCGGTTCGAATCCAGCGTCTGATGAACTCTTTCTTCTTTTTTCCCCCGCTACATATCAGATTTTGCCTACTATTTATCACGAGAAAGACAAGTAGGAATCATTAATAAGTTTGTGCATCATATTTTATTTGCACATTTATTGAATGGAAATGTTTCTGATTCACGCATGCAAATTCATCTTCAGATAGTGTCTTTATAGCAATGTGTGTGCAGTAGATAGCTCAGATTACATTGGGAAAACAGGCGACCGCTGCAAATTGTGCTGTAATGTTTAGCTGGTCAACAACTGTATGGTATGGAAACCTTATATACCTGCTAGATGAACCCGTCTCATACAGCTGCCATTGCAAGGCTCAGACACTTTGTAGAGAGCAATTTAACACAACTGCCTCTAGGAGTCGCCAATGGAAATAAAACAGACACGCACAAAAAATGTGCGTACGCCTGCCATAAAGCTGCCGTGGAGGTGCGCACATTCCCACGTTCAGTTCATTGTAAGTAAATCCAAACGTGAGCGATTCTGAGCGTGAAACCTGGCGTACGCAAAGTTTTTGTGCATACGCAGCGTTGATACATGAGGCCCCTGAAATGTTGTTTTGGTCATTCTTAAAATGCCTTAACCGTTTAGGTATTAGTGTGATTATATTATTGATTGCCTCCAGAATCAAGATCATCTGCTCCGTGTCTTACACCTTTAAACGCCACCATGTGTTCATTGCATGAAGACATTGTCTTCTTTGGTGAAAGTCATTTAATAATAAAGAAAAAGATTCTCGCAACTTCTCCTACCGCAGCAAATTCCAGTTTTACTTTTGATATCTGGCACCAGTTAATCAGGAAGTGACGATTTTGTTCTCTTCGACTCATTGGATAGAAACACTTCTTTATGCACAAGTCTCTTATGTGATTTTCTAGTTTTGAGCATAAGTTTAATTCACATCTTTGGATGGAAACATGGCTAATGTGATCAGGTCAGCCCACTGGTTTATCCATTAATGCAGTCCATCGCACCCATTTTCATCATCACATGATCTCTTATATGAAGATCACATCACTTTTTATTGCTCATATAAGAATTTATACAGTAAAAGTGTTTCTATCATAGTTTATGCTCGTTTTTCTTATTAATAAAAAATTCTCTACTCAGTTATGCACATCTTGGCATTTACATCAAGCATATTTTTTCTGATAATCCAAAATGCTCATAAAAATAGGTAAATAGAAACAGCTAAAGGCAGCATTTTTCAGAAATCTTTTTTTGTGTTTTGTGAAATTCATAAAAGTCTACTTGAGTTCATTTTTGGGTGAACAGTCCCTTTAAAATACCTGTAACGATTTTTTGCAGGACCTCAAAAGCCTTCGTACAGCGGATGGAGAGTCAGCATCTGCGACCTGGAAGTGGTATTCAGTGATGGATGGAGCGCTGAACAGCGAGAACCCAATCACCCACATCATCACACCCGTCCGCGTGACCATACCGGCCCCGGATGCTCCTCCCACCAAGCAGAGGAAGCAAGCGGATTGGCTGACGGCCCTGCAAGAATTGGAGAAGAGGCAGGAAGAGAGAGAAAGGCAAGCGGCAGAGAGAGAAGACGAGAGAGACCGACGGTCCACCGCCAGAGAAGACGAGAGAGACCGACGCGCTCTGGAGAGAGAAGCCGAAAGAGATCGAAGAGCTGCGGAGAGAGAAGAAATCAGAGAGAGACTGGTGCTGGAGAGAGAAGAGAGGAGAGAGCGGGAAATGTTTGCCCGAGAGGAGCGCTGGGAGAAAGAGATGCTAGCTAGAGAAGAGCGGCAGGAAAGAGACTACAGAGAAAGAGAGGAGAGGAGGGAAAGAGAAGCCGCTGCTAGAGAAGAAAGGCTCTTTAAAGTCCTCGAGACATTTCTGGCCAACAAGTAAATCTCGTACACATACTCAAAACTCATATGGCAAGGCATTTTTAAAAGGGATAGTTCATCCACAAATGATAATGATCTCATTTACTCTCTATCTCACGCGGTTTTAAAACTACGTGTTTCTTTCTTTTGTTAAACACAAATCAAAATATTTTTAAGAATCGGCTTCCATAGTAAGAAAAAAACGTTTACTATAGAAGTCAGTGGGTTCCAGCTAACAGCAATTTTTAAAAATATCTTTTTTTGTGTTCAACTGAAGAAAGAAACTGAAATAGGTTATGAGAATTTTCGTTTTTTTGGGTGAACTACCCCTTTAACATTTAATTTATTAAACACTAGTTTCTGCTTTTATGCTAATGTCTATTTTTTAAGCCTCTACTCACATAACAGTAATTTATAGTAAATCCTATAGTGTTTTTTGAACCATACTATAAAAAAATACTTTAAGTAATTAATGAATGATTTAATTAATTAGTTAATTGTTGTTATATATATTTTATTTTTTTATTTTTTATTTAAACACCAAAAACGTGAAGTCAAATATCCCGGACAGCCCCCACTTTATTTTACAGGGTCGTCTAGGATTAAGGATGTAACAGTTTTATACAACATGATATATTATATATATAATTTTATAATTTATATTATAATACACCTCAATTTATTGTAGTAAAAAGTAAAGTATAAGTATAAAATATACAGTATAATGTAATGTTTATTAGGATTCAAAAATGCTACATTATTTACCATGGATTACCATAACATTTTTTTTAATGAGGGTAGCATCTTTTCTATTGAGCAGTACTCATTCATTAGTTTTAAAAGACAGTAACTTTTTTTTTTTTTAATCAGAAACTTTAGACTCCAGTACCTATTATGTATTAGGTATTATTCAATAGACACTAGTACCTATTTGTTAGTAAATACTAATAGTACTTATTCATGTGCTGTAAGTTGGTATCCGATAGTCACTATTGATTTTTGTTAGATACTAGTTATTATTCATCATACTATTACTTATTCATTAGATATTAATATTTATTTCAGTAGTAGCTACTTTATTTTTCTGCTAAGAAACTGTACAATGTTTTTGTCATTGACTTCTATGAGGATCCGTCAATAAGATATAAACTACTTTTTATTGGGTACTAGTATTTAATAGCAACTAGCAACTAATCACAACAGCGTTTGTTTGCTTATCTTATGGTATGACTGGTCTAAAAGGCAAAGAAGTAGAATTTAAGTGTTCAATTTAAAATTTTAATAAAATAAACATTTTAAATAATAAAATAAAAATATGATAATAATAATAATAATAATAATATTTAATAGGTGTGCAAATCTAATAATATATACCATAGTCTAAAATGTAAACATAAACGCACTAATCTAAATTTAAATGGATACTAGTCAACAGTGTTGTTTAGATTACTTATGAATTGTTTTCAGTGATTACAAATTACATGGCAAAATTTGTAGTCTGTAATACATTAATAATAGTAAAATATAATACTCTATTATCTATATAAATAGATTACACCTTTATGGTAACGTAACTTCGACTGACTACTTTTGGATTATATTCAGATTAACTTTGTGGTGACCTTTAAATTTAAACGATACAAAGATAAAATAGTAAATTATTTTTTTTATAATTATTATTATTATGTTTTTTGTTTCCAAACATTAGATAAAAAAGTGTAATATATGGACAATAATAATACTTAAAAAAAATATAAAACAGAAATATTTTGGAGAATTAACGAATTGTGATCGAGCTACTGCCATTGTGATCCTCATAGAAGTCAAATTTGTTATTAGTAGCAACAGTTACTTGTCCTCATGTAAAATATGTACAAATAAATATTAAATACTGCTATCTGTTGAATAAGTACAAAAGATATTTGTTGCTAAAAGATAAGTACTGTTAGCATGAAAATAGATACTAATATGTTTTTTAGATTAAATGTTAAAGCTTGCCATCCTCTGGTAATCTTACATTCCAAATTGCCTGTTTTCTACTAATAAACGATTTTGCATTGCCATCATCTGTCTAGCTCTTTTTCAGTCAGAAAAGTAATACTCTAGATTACACATTTACGCCCCATTCACACGGGGCCTCAGCTTCTACGCTTGACAGAGGGCGTGTCTGAAGTTGGGGCTGACGCGATCTTCATAGCAGCGTCAGCCAATGAAATTAGTCAGCAATAGGTCACTGTCTGAGCTGGTGTTTTTGCATACAGCGATCTGATTAGCTAAAGCTTCCATAGGTGCATAATCAGTTCCTAATATAATCAAAGTGAATGGACAGAGTTGAAGCTGACGCCCGAGTAAATGGGGCGTTATTGTTAAGTAATCTGACTATTTTTGGATTACATTTAGATTACTTTCGTGCTGAGCTTTATTTTTGAACGATACAAAGACAAAATAGTGAGTTATTTATCCCAAAACAAGTTTCCAAACTACAGCTTTTTAAAGTGCTGTGTAAGGACAGACTGTAATAATACTTTGCATAAAAATACAATTGTTAAAGGTGTTGTATGTAAGTTTTTGACTCATATAAAATACCATAATATATTTGCAGATATTTAAGAAACATGCAAAGTGATCATTCTTGTTTATCTGAAAAACAATGCTGAAGTCAGAGAACCTGATTTGCAAATGCCTGTTATGTGCTGGAACGCTGTCTTTGTTTTGGTTCTTTTAACCCGCCCACTGCCAGTTTAGCCAATTATTTTTCAGCACCCCTGGTTGCCTTGTTGGAAACAGCATTTTTCGTTCATTCAGTCAGTTAGGAAGGTGCTCAAAGTATGCATCCGTAACCAAAATGCGACCTCTGGTGGACAGTAGCAGACTCCGAACTGAGACGCAGATTCAGAGTTCCACACAAGGTTAATAATTAGCAAATAATAAAAATATTATAAATGTAAACATTAGGTGAGCAGGTTACATTGTAACTCTGTGTCCTAACAACACGATATGTGACGAGCACAATTTGGCTGTTTGCACTAGACGCAGCACGACATGTTTAAATACAGCCATTTAAAAGCACAGAATATATGTGCACTCACTGCACCTTAACAAATGGTAAGGTTTATAATCTAATTAATACATATTAAAACTCTTTAACATTATAAAATGTAGATGCTGAATCACTGATATGTGTTGGTTTTGAGGTTTTCTAAAGTTCAATTTCAAACAGTTTATTTCATTTTCAAGATCTGCTGCTGCTTTCAGTAGTATGGCAATAAATGTCATGTAAAATGGCATTCAAACTCACATTATTAGCTTTTAACACAGAATAAAGCACATGAGGTGTAGCTGAGGTGATCATTGTCAGTTTTCTGTTGTTCAGCTGCAAGAAATAGAAGCCGTTTCTAATATATCAATTCAAGGAGTTGGTTTGGACAAAAACTCCTTTAACTATGGGAAATATTCCTTCTATCGTGTAACATTTCTTTTATTTAGAAGACAGCTTAAATCAGCCTTTAGGCTCCGTAGTCAGACTCGCTCCTGTTGGTCCTCAATCTGGCAACCTGTGCTTGCGTTTGTTTTGATCCAGGAATGCAATACCTAAGTCAACCACTGGGTGTCAAACTTACATACTGCACCTTTAAAGCAGAAATATTTTGCCGAATCAACCAGTTGTAAACAAACGACTGCCAATGTGTTAATATGAAATCATGGAATCCATAAAAAATGAACTGTAGTCAGAATATTTACAATTATTTGAGAAAGGAAGTATTGGGGCAGCAATATATGCAAAAACAGAAAGGTTTGTTATTTTTAAAAATCACCTACAATTGGAACGAGTCTCATTAAGACAGATCCATGAAAAAACCTGTAATATGCATGCCAGGCCAGAAGTTAGTAATGTTCCTTTTTGTATTTGTGTTTTTGTTGTTTATGGAGATGAATTTTCACTTGTAAAATGACTTCAAAATTTGCACTGCAGCTCCCAAAGCCACTGTTGTCATGTACCACTTGTAAAAAGATGCATATAAAAGTGTTAATCTAGTTAAAAATAATGTTGCGTAAATGTTTCTTTCATAATGCTGAAACAAAACCAAAACATATTTCATTTTATAATTATAATGATTATGAGAAACCAACAAGCCATGATTAAATAATTTATTATTGAATAAATCTAACAGATATCTGCACATTAGACGAAAAACAACAAATGCACAAAGCAGCGACACAGAAACATAAAAATAGCTGAGCCTTAACATCCTGGATACTCAAGTTACAGTATCAACATCAAACTTTATGCAGAAACATTAGTGAAGTTTCTGCGGGACAAAATGATACTGACAGATAAAAAAAAAAAGCTGAATTATGTCAAAGAATAAACAAGAAAATAGTCAGGACAACAGTAGATGCTTAGAATATTTCTATTGAAATATATTTATATGTATTTATAGTATTTAAAAACAGTATTTTCTTTCCTCTGACGTTTGGCGGGTGCTTTGAATTCGTCTTTGCAAACAAATATTTGGCAACAAACTTTGCATCAATATAATACAAGCTTCTTTTTTACTGAAAATAAAGCATTTGTAATATTCTGAATATCTCATTTCTATATAATCCTCTAAATAAATAATTTAATAGATGACAAATATGTAGAACACACACACACACACACACACACACATAATAATTACATATTAAAATTCTGTTGTCGTTAATATTTGATATTATTATTATGATATTCAGCAGTCAATTCATATTTTCGTGTTTAATCCTGTCAGTAATATTTAGTGGTAGTTACATTTAACCACATCAATACATAAAAATTGCAGGTAGTAATAATCGCATTCATACAAACTGAACGACTAGTTGTTAATGACATATTTCGTTGTGTATCGTTTCTCTCCTATAAGAGGTAAGAAAACACAGGGGAGATACATCTCTACTCACTGGTGTTGCCAGATCTTGCTAGAAAAAAACAACTATTAAGAAAAAAAAACATAATAAACTAAAATATTCTTAATGTTAAAATGAAACTGTAATAGAAAAAAGTCATACAGTAAAATACTGCAAGATGGGATGATGGGATGGTAACACTTTAAAGGGATAGTTCACCCAAAAATGAAAATTTACCCTCAACTTTTACGAATTTCTTTCTTGGGTTAAACACAAAAGAAAAATGAAAAAACCTGTAACCATCAGTGTTGGGGGGTAACTAGTTACATGTAAGGGTGTTACGTAATTAATTACAAAATAAAAGTAAAAGTAATTTGTTACAGTTACTGAGAAATAAAATGTGTAATTAAATTACAGTTACTTATGAAAATGTTAAAGATCAAATATGGGTTAACATCTAAATATGTTGAATAGTAATAATCTTTGTTTGTTTTTGATATGTCTGCTAAGATATTTGATATTATCTGCTTTGATATTATCTGCTAAGGCCATTTATTAAAGCGGTGCTATTCTGATGGCTTTGACTGGTTTTACGGTTTGATTGTGGCACACCATGTCTAGCAGTTAGTTTAATCCTCTCTGCCGCTGAAAGCATTAGGCTACTACAACCAGTCTGAGAGCTGCAAGTAGTGACGCTACTATCTTACTACATTTCTCAGTAGCGTGGCAGGAGCGTCGATACTTTCTAAATCAAAAAGCTTTTCAGTAGCAAAGCTATTTTATTAGTGAAATAGCGTCAACACAATCTACATTTACCGATCCCGAATTAATAAGTGACAGCACTGACATTCACAGAGCTGTGAGGCCAGTGTCTAGCTGATAAAAGTAAATTCATATGATGGTGAGAATGACTATTTCTTCTTCTTCTTCCTGTTTTTCAGTGGTAGACAATAAACCTTTTAGTGCGTTACTGCCACCTCTCACTGTGAGGTCGCCAACTAAATAGGCTGACACGAGAAATTTGCTTGATGGAAAGATGACTGAGGGAGAGGAGGTCTATATAAATGGTTTACTGTAGTAAAGGTTAAAGTATATTATGGTAATAACTATTAGTTCATGATCGTTACTAATGATACT